ACCGGGAATGCCAGGAACACCGTACATACCCGCCTGCAGCAGCAGCTTGGCGCAGCGCAGGTGCTGGCGCGCGCAGGCCACGTGCAGCGGAGTCCCGAAGTGGCAGTCGTGAGCCTCCAGGTTGGCGCCCACGTCGATGAGGAGCTGCACGCACTCCGAGCTCCCTGCGGCCGGAAAAATGGGAAAATCCCATGGGAAAACGGGAACGGACTCGAGGGGCCCCAGGAGAATTCCGGCCGGGAATTCACCCTGAGGAACGGAGGGTTCCTTAGGGAATCCAAGCAAGATTCCGAGGGATCGCCCGCTGGTGGTGGAGATGATCCCACCAGGGAAATCCCGCCGGGAAAATCCCACCAGGAAAATCCCACCAGGAAAAGGGGATCCAGGCAAGGAAATGGGGGTTAGCCAGGGAAAAAGGGATTTAGGCAGGGAAAAGGAATTCTAGGCAGAGAAAAAGGGAATTTATCCAGGGAAAAGAGGATTTATCCAAGGAAATGGGAATTCCAGGCAGGGAAAAGGGAATCCAGAGAGGAAAAAGGAAATTTATCCAAGGAAAAGGAAATCCAGATGGGGAAGAGGGAATCCAGGCAGGGAAAAGGGAATTTATCCAGGGAAAAGGGGATTTATCCATGGATAAGGAAATTTATCCAGGGAAAAGAGGATTTATCCATGGAAAAGTAATTCCAGGCAGGGAAAAGTGGATTTAGCCAGGGAAAAGGAAGAGGCCTCTGCAGGGAAAAACAGGATCAAATCTGGGAAAACTGGGATCAGAAATGGGAAAAACGGGATCAGAATGGGATCAGAGGGGTCTCTGCAGGGAAAAATGGAGATTTTCCTGTCCTTTTCCTGCTCAGCTGGGGAGGTTTTCCCAACCCTTTCCAGCCAGGGAGGTTTTCCCAACCTTTTCCCACCTGGAAGTTTTCCCATCCCTTTCCCACTGGGAAGCTCCCCGTCCATCCCGCTCCCCAGCCCGTACCGTTCATGCAGGCCTCGTGCAGCGGTGACGCCGTGTAGAGCGGAGGGTTCACCTTGGCGCCATGCGCCAGCAACAGCCGCACGCACTCCACGCTGCCCGAGGCACAGGCGTCACACAGAGGAGTGCTGCCGTCAATGTTCCGAGCGTCCACCTGAACAGAAGGGATCAATATCGGTACTGGCATTGGTATTGGTACTGATATCATCAATATTGATATTGGTACTGATATTGATATTGGTACCGATATTGACACCCCACACTGCCCGAGGCACAGGCGTCACACAGAGGAGTGCTGCCGTCAATGTTCCGAGCGTCCACCTGAACAGACGGGATCAATATCGGTATTGGTACTGGTATTGATATCATTGATATCGATATCAGTACTGATATTGGTACTGATATCAACACCCCACACTGCCCGAGGCACAGGTGTCACACAGAGGAGTGCTGCCGTCGATGCTCCAAGCGTCCACCTGAACAGAGAGGATCAATACTGGTATTGGTACTGGTATTGGTATTGATATCATCAATACCAATATCAGTACTGATATCAACAGCCCACACTGCCCAAGTGGTCACACAGTGGAGTGCTGCCATCAATGTCCCGAGCATCCACTTGAACAGACAGGATCAATACTGGTATTGGTACTGGTATTGATATCATTGGTATTGATATTGGCAATGATACTGATATCAATATTGGTACTGATATCAACACTCCACACTGCCTGAGGCACAGGTGTCACACAGATGAGTGCTGCTGTTGCTGTTCTGAGCATCCACCTGAGCAAAGAGGATCAATACTGGTATTGATACTGGTATTGATATCATCAATATCAGCATTGATATCATCGATATCAATATCAGTACTGATATTGACACCCCACACTGCCCGAGGCACAGGTGTCACACAGAGGAGTGCTGCCGTTGATGTTCCGAGCGTCCACCTGAGTGGAGGGGATCAATATTGGTATTGGTATTGGTATTGATATTATTGATATCGATATCAGTACTGATATTGGTACTGATATCAACACCCCACACTGCCCGAGGCACAGGTGTCACACAGAGGAGTGCTGCCGTCGATGCTCCCAGCGTCCACCTGAGCAAAGAGGATCAATACTGGTATTGATACTGGTATTGATATCATCAATATCAGCATTGATATCATCGATATCAATATCAGTACTGATATCGACACCCCACACTGCCCGAGGCACAGGCGTCACACAGAGGAGTGCTGCTGTTGATGTTCCAAGCGTCCACCTGAACAGACGGGATCAATATCAGTATTGGTATCAGTATTGATATTGGTATTGGTACTGATATTGCTACTAATATCGATATTGGTACTGATATTGACACTCCACACTGCCCGAGTGGTCACACAGAGGAGTGCTGCTGTCAGTGTTCCGAGCGTCCACCTGAACAGACAGGATCAATATCTGTATTGGTACTGATATTGGTATTGATATTGGTACTGATATTGGTACTGATATCAATATTGGTACTGATATCGACACCTCACGCTGCCTGAGGCACAGGCGTCACACAGAGGAGTGCTGCCGTTGATGTGCCATGCATCCACCTGAGCAGAGAGGATCAATATTGATATAGGTACTGGTATTGGTACTGATATCATCAATATCGATATTGGTACAAATATTGATATTGATATCAGTACTGATATCGACACCCCACGCTACCCGAGACACAGGTGTCACACAGAGGATTGCTGCCGTCAATGTTCCGAGCGTCCATTTGAGCGGGGAGGATCAATACTGGTATTGGTATTGATATTGGTATTGATATCATCAATATCAGCATTGATATCATCGATATCGATACTGATATCAACACCCCACACTGCCCGAGGCACAGGTGTCACACAGAGGAGTGCTGCCATTGATGATCCGAGCGTCCACCTGAGTGGAGAGGATCAATACTGGTATCGGTATTGGTATTGATATTGGTACTGATATCAATACTGGTATTGATACTGATAAACATATCAGTACGAATATTGATACTGATATGGATGTTGATATTGATACTGATATTGATACCGATATTGATATCAATATTGATATTGATATTGATACTGGTATTGATATTTATATTGGTATTGATTTCGATATCGATACTGATACTGGTATTGATACTGATATTGATATTGGTATTGATATCAATATTGATGCTGGTATTGATACGGATATTTATATTGGTATTGATATTAATGCCGATATTGATACTGGTATTGATATTGATACTGATATTGATACCGATATTGACACTGATATTGGTATTGATACTGTTACCAATATTGATATCAATATTGATACCAGTATTGATACTGATACTGATATTGATATAGATATTAATATTGACACTGGTATTGGTATCAACATTGAAACTGATATTGCTATAGTTACTGATATTGATAGCGATATTGATACTGGTATTGATATAAATACTGATATTGATATTGATATCGATATTGATACTGGTAATGGTATCAACATTAATAGTGACACTGATATTGATATCGATATCTATATTGATATTTTGGGTTCTTTTTATATTTATATTACATATATATGACGAACGATAGAATTCATGCTATGGTTATTTAACTATTAAATTACGATTATTATTAACGATATTGGTATTTGATATCGGTATTTATATTTACTTTTATACTTATATCTATATTCATATTGGTATTTGATATCGGTATTTATATTTACTTTTATACTTATATCTATATTCATATTTACACTTGTATTTTTACTTATATTTATGTTATATATATATCCAACAGCTGATGGAACTAATGCTATCATTATTTTAATATTAAATTACTTGTTATTAATGATATTTATATTTACATTTACACTTATACTTATACTTATATTTATACTTATATTTATATTATATATATACAACAACTGACATAATTCATGCTATTATTACCTTACTATTAAATTACTATTATTGTTAATATTGATATTGATATTTATATTATGTAAATAAGGCAACTGATGGAATTCATGCTATTATTATTTTACTATTAAATTACTATTGTTATTGGTGATATTGCTATTTATATTTATATTATATTTATATTATATATATGGCAACTGATGGAATTCATGCTATTATTTTACTATTAAATTACTATTATTGTTAATATTGATATTTGTATTATATATATAAGGCAACTGATAGAATTAATGCTACTATTATTTTACTATTAAATTACTATTTTTATTAATTACATCAATATTGATATTGATATCAATATTGATATTGATTGCTTTATTTCTATTTCTATTTATAATATATAAGGCAACTGATGGAACTAATGCTATTATTATTTTACTATTAAATTACTATTGTTATTAGTGACATTTATATTTATATTTATATTTATATTTATATTTATATTTATATATATGGCAACTGATGGAATTCATGCTATTATTTTACAATTAAATTACTATTATTGTTAATATTGATACTGATATTTATATTACATATATAAGTCAACTGATAGAATTAATGTTATTATTTTACTATTAAATTACTATTATTACTAATTATATCAATATTGTCATTGATATTGATATCAATATTGATATTGATAGTTTTGTTTCTATTTCTATTATATATATATGGCAACTGATGGAATTCATGCTATTATTTTACTATTAAATTACTATTATTATTAATGATGTCAATATTGATATTGATAGCTTTATTTCCATTTCTATTTATAAGGTAACTGATGGAATTAATGCTACTATTATTTTACTATTAAATTACTATTATTATTAATGATATCAATATTGATATTGATAGCTTTATTTCTATTTCTATTATATATATACGGCAACTGATGGAATTCATGCTGTTATTTTATTATTAAATTACTATTATTGTTAATATTGATATTGATATTTATATTATATATATAAGAGAATTGCTAGAATTAATGCTATTATTATTTTACTATTAAATTACTAATTATTAATGATATTGCTATTTATATTTATATTTATATTTATATTATGTATTTCACAACTGATGGAATTAATGCTATTATTATTTTACTATTATTTAAAATTTATTATTAAATTTACTATTTTTATTTATTATTAAATTATTATTTATTTAAATTTATTATTATTTTACTATTATTGTTAAATTGCTGTTATTCTGCTTCTTGTGTTGTTTTGATTCTCTTGTAACACTTGTATATAAAAAAACCAAAAAATTATTAGTTATAATTTGTTTATAAATAAATAAAAATTTATTAGTTATATAATTTGTTCATAAATAAATATTTATTAGTTATAATTTGCATATATAAAAATAAAAATTAATTAGTTATCATTGAGGTAATTAATATATTATAAAAATATACTAATATATATTAATATATAAAAATAGATATAAATATATAAATACATAAAATATATATAATTTAAATATGCATGTAAAGTATATATAAATATAAATATATGTAACTTACATCATTTAATTTTATAAGCATAAAAATATGAAATTGTATGTTATAAATATAGAAATACATAAATATAAAAATGTATATAAATAAAAATCTATGCATATATAAATCCATAAATTATAAAAATATATAAATTATAAATATAAAAATATAAAAACATAAATTTATAAATATATAAACATAGAAAGATAGAAATTATGAACATATAAATGTATGAAATATAAAACTATATAAATTATAAGTAAAAAATATAAAATATATAAATATAGAAAGGTGTAAAATATAAAACACATAAATTATAAGTATATAAATATTTTTTGTATAAATATATAAAATACATAAATTATATATAAACACATAAAAACATATAAGTTATAAAAATACACAAAAACATGAAAAAAATAAAAATATATAAAAATATATAAAAATATAAAAATATATACAAAATATATAAGAATATATATAAATATATAAATTATAAATATAGAAACATGTAAAAATGTATAAGAAAAAGCTCCATTAGGATTTTGGGATGGGAAAGGTCAGGAATGGTTTCTGTGGGAATGTGGATGGGATGGAATCTCTCTGGGAATGTGGAATCTGTCCCTGCTCCGGATATTTCAGCTTTTCCTGCCTTTTTCCCAGCTGGAATTCTCACTCCAATGTAAATATCCCCTGGCACAGCTTGAGCTCACAACGGGATCAGGGAATGA